ACACAGTGTTATACAGTAATATTAACTGATGACGTTACGGGCACAAATTATTGCTCATAATCATATCGAGTTACTCACACAACGTATTTCCTTAATTTATATACCTGAGTAAAAACTGATGATTAGACATTTGAATGAAATCAATATAAGATAATGTACATTCAGAAATAATAATATGAGTGTTATTGATCAAATACAATCAGATGGGAAATAAGACGAGTGTTTTTATAGTCAAAATAAGCAACTTGTTATAATGTGCTTGAAATGAAATAGAATTTTGAGATTATTTATAATCCTCTTTTGATTTGACTGGCGGTAATAATACCTTCCATATTTCTGGTATTTGCATTGAATCATTTCTGTTGCATGTGTTGGGTGTAGACTCAATGAACCAGGATTCAGTAATCAACCTCTCTCTCCACCTACATAGATTACTTCTTAGAATTTGAACCCTCTCCCACCTTATTGTGTGCTTGGGTATTAATGCATATTATGGTGAAATTGCTGAGTTTTTTTCTAAATTACTCATCTTCTCGGGGTCTGACTATCCCCGACCTACTAGTCTGACCTATGTAGTTGACCTCACAGTCATTGCAAGGTATTTTGTAAATTATATTATTTTGTTTAATTGGGTCCACCGGGTCTTTTAGCCTACAGAGCTTGTCTTACCTGAGTGCGTTTGTAGGTTTGAATGCCACTCTAATTCCTGCTCTATTGAGAATCCTATGTAGGGAGGGTCTCAGATGTCCCCTCCTTATATGGTAGAATTGTAGATGCCTTATATTCTCTCTTATTTATATTATTAGTTTCACCATTATTTTTATTTTGCTTTTGGCCTTTTCTGATCTTCCTAATGAATTTTATAGCATAGTTAGTTATTTAACACCAAAGCTTCTTCTATCTGTTTTATTTCATCATTTAGGTCTTTTCTTGTGCTACTGCTCGGTTTCTTAGACACTTAACTAAGCCTGCCTTCACAGGCAGACGAAGGATGAGATAAATTAAAGTCTAAATTTCTATTAGCAGAATGCGTTGGCTTTTTATAAACGCTAGTGTGCAGTTCACCTTCTTCTGTTCATTTTATTTTACAATCTAACATAGCTGATTCTCCTTGTTCATTTTCCGATTCAAATGTGGATTTTATTCCCTCTACTAGTGAGTTTATGTGTGTCAAGAAGCTAGAGATATGCTCTATTTTTAACACCGTGTGTGAAAGTGTCATCCACATATCTCCACCATATTTTTGGAGTACGATTAAATGTATTAAGAACAGTATTTTCCCAGGTGTCCATTCATATATCTGCTACGATATGAGGTATTGGTGATCCCATTGCTACACCTGTTTGTTTATATATTACTGAATAACACCGTGTGATTTATCAAAATAAAATCTTATCCATTATGGAATTATGCTCTACCACAGTGCTGAAGTTTTATACTTATATGCGTAACACCGTCTCAAAAACTGAACACATCTAATTTCAATCTATATTCAACTAATAATATTTCTTACTACCAATGGGTACCAACCATTCGAATGTAGATGACTCTTATGTGGAATATAGTGTGAAGTGTACTACTGACAAGATTTATCAGTAGTAAATAAAGAGAAGTGCTCATTGCAAACAAGAATATCAAATAGCGGAGTGATAGACTAGACTTCAAAGAGAGGAGGAAATGAACCATTATTGCAGCAAACCACGAAAAGGAGACAAAGAAACATAATACGAAGACTAGGAGCAGCACAATACGGAAGATCTGTGTGAATGACGGTCTTCATATATGCCATACATAATCTCCCTATATGTGTATATCAATTGCCAGTTGACATTCCGTTACAAAATTTCTTGTCTTCTATCGCAGTTACACTGTCAAATGATGACGGCTGTTTTAATACATGCGTAGCCTCCTTAAGCCAGACGTAACCACTGGCTTGGCTAACATTAATGAGAAGAACCATGAGAAATGAGGTAGATAGCACCGAATAGCTGTTTTGTCCTCTTCACAGCAGAAAACACGAATTATTATCCTACCAAGGAGTGGATCTTAAGCCGTCATGGTACCAACTGATGAACTTGCTATTATTCTTCTAGTGACTTATGACTTTTATTTTCTGTCAGTTCAATTTCAGTCGATCTCTATGTGACTACTCTTCACATCTGTAAAGACTATTTTCACAGGACTATCGGGAAATTAGGTTGTTAGGATGTGCAAGTAACCAAGTTGTAACTAAAAGTGGTCGATAAATTTCAGGTGATTAACTCATAAGTTGTTGATTTACTAATCAATAAATACAGATCTCTGGTTCACCTAAGCACTGAGATCTACACCTTCAACTGATCACTAGGTTTTTGACGAATTTTAAAATCTACAAGTATGCTAAACGACAAAATGTCTTCTGCCGGGGATGAATACCTTATCTTTTCTAGCAGTGGAGTAGTGTTTAGTGAGAGGACTTTTATATCTTAACTCGAACAACTGTGGTCGTGCTTAGGTCTGCAATGAAGTATTATGTAAGATTTCCGCTCTTTCCAACTTCCCCATTCATTTGTTCATCGGAGGACTGTTTACCATGACAGCGGCTGGTGCCAGTCGCACCTAAAATCACGAATTGGATGAAGTTAGAATTCATAGGCCATTGAGTCGAGTCCCGGTGGCATAATGTTCTACGAGTTCGCCTGGTTGGTAACCGGAAGGTCCTGTCCTCCGCTAGAAACACAATGGTGGATGATGCAATCTGCCAATGAGTTCCAAACTAAGACGAAACAGCTGTCCAGTAAGTATCCTCCAGCTGGTTTCCAATGCTTCTCTAACTGATATGAGTTCCTGACCATGTTTAATTATACTTTTGTTAGTGCTGCTGTATACTTAAGTTTACTTCAGGAATCTTGTGTAGTCACGTGTACAAGTTGCAGTTAGTACTCACTGTATAAATCACTTATTTAATTCATTTACAAAACGTTGCAGTTTCTCATTTGACAAGTACAAATTGACACGCTTTTTGAGTACTGTATTATGTGACTCTTAAACTGGGTGTACTCACATTCTATTGGGTAGAAATGTTTGCTTTGAAACTCAAATCTAATACGCAAGGGATTAACAGAGATTTTCTTCAATACAGATGCAGGGTAAGGGAGTCTAGTCGTCTTTCGGAGTACTCATATTTCTTTAGCCCATAGAAATCATTAATTCTCATTCGATCAATTTTATTTGAACTCACCTATCCTAAGTAGGGAATTCGTATACCAAGGTACAAACGACGCTTATCGTGTGTGTGTGTGTGAGGGGAGGAGGGCTGATGATACTACGCAGTGAGTAGATCCGTATTTCACCACAGATGCCGTCGGCTGAAAATAGACCACTTAAACCAATCAGTCAGTCATGTCTCCACCCACCTATCATGCAATAATTTATGTTCACTAACGATCCAGTACTGTTAGCATACTCAACTCATAGGAAGAAGAAGAAGCAAAAGTGACTAAATTTTCCGTAAGGAATCTATTCGAGATGTTTATTGTTTCCTAAATATTTAACACTTTTCCAAAGCAATGATTATGATTGTAGTTCTATGTCCTATTCTGTTTAATCAATGAATTTCTGTATCCTCTTCAAATTACCGCCAGTGTGCCTCAATCAATGAGTACTTTTCGGACCAGCAGGTTACTTTCTGAAAGATCGAGGAAAACTATATCCCCATATATGAGTACGCCTATCTTATAGAGTGAAAGAAAACAGTTGCACACTAGGGATGTCTGAAGAACACCACTAAATAAGCACTGTGAGAGGACGATCTGTTAACTCGTGTAAATTCCTACACTATCAGAAAGTGAAATCCACACTGGCTCTAGACTTGTTCATGCAAACTGAGTCGCATCATTTTAAAGTTTGCAATGTGCTTACCAGCTGAGTTGCCATCACCTCTAACTGTCGACAGATATTAAATGGTTGGAGGCACTCAGCGCAAACCCCCTCCCCCTCCCAACCAGGTTCTATGCTTGTTTGCACTCATCACAAAAGTGTGTCTTCAACATTTATTAGAACAAGACATATAAGCCAAGAATATTGTTATTTTCAATTAGAACTTCTTCAGGCTTTACTCTAGTTTACATTGACTTATATGTAAAATTTTAACCAATGACGGTGATTTTGTGGATCAAATAATAATTATAATAATAATGTGGTAAATGTTTTGAACGTGGTTAATAACGATGATTATAATGACAAAAAAATATTGATAATAAGGTTTATGCAGGTGGCGATAAGAATAACAAAGGTAGTAATATGTGTATATGTAGATAATTAAATAAATAAATTAGGTCAAATCTTAAAATTTACGTAATACTAAAGGTGAAGTGGACAGATAATCATAGTTCAAATAAATATCATAAAAATACGAAGGAGGTGGAAAATAAGGAAGGGTGGGAGGGTTTTGAATAGAATTCACCTAGGCGAGCAAAGGAGAGACAAAGGTAGAACAAACTTCTTTTGTTGTATGCAAAGACTAGGATTGTTCCAGTCCACAAAATCACCATCATTGGTTAAAATTTTTTAAATGTAAATCCATGTAAATTAGAGTAAAGCCTGAAGAAGATCTAATTGAAAACAACAATATTGTTCGCTTATATGTTTTGTTCTGAAATGTTCTAAAAATGGGAATATTTAAAGATTCAACATTTATGCAATTCATATCGCATCTCAGATACGAACTCTCGTCGCCCAGTCTTACACAATCATAGAAACCACCAGTGAGTTATTCGGAATCATCCCTGAGCAACCATCTACCATCAATTTTAGAATGAAGAGCGATGGCAAACCACTTAACCCTAGTGACCACATTGCAAACTAGACTAACAGAATCCAGCAGTCAGCGACAAAACCAAGCACTGCACATGAATGACACTGGTTACTCTTGACTGACTAATAATCAATATATCCATTACAGTCCCACAGAGAGTCAATTGTGAGCTCGAACAGTTCAGTAATTGATCTCTCTGACTACAGCACAGTCGGGAGAACAGTGAGAGTTACTTCAAATTGTTGGGACCTTGCTTTCCATCAGAAGACGGTATACTTGTACTTTGTTGAGGCGATCTCAGTATACCGCCTGGACTCAAAGGAGGGCAGTAAGACGGAGATAAGAATGCCACCGAGAGAGTTGCGATCTCTGACACAACAAGTAGCTAGTTCGTAAGTGCAGTTATGCTTTCATCTTGAAATACGTTGTTCACATATGTGTTAAAACTTTGTGTTGTATTTGTGTTATTGAGGCCAGTTGTTTGCTTGGCTTGTTGTAGTGTGTGATTGCTATCATTATAATGTGCTTGTCAAGGAGAGATTGGTACAGGTTTGGGATGAGTTGTTTCATGTCCTACGTGATTGACTGAATAATGACTTTCGCGAATATCAGATGCGTTTATGAAAAGATGGTAGAGTCGTTCGGTATGGCTTGAGTTGACACTAATCGCGTCTGTTGATGAGTCTGATGCTAATGAAATTTGCTTGTATGGTTTGCTTTTACAGCTTTCCAGATACGGTGGTATATGATGGAGGGCACGCAATATACTCTGAAGACCCGTTAACGGGTGTTACAACGGACCCTGTGGAGAAGGAGATGGAGATCGAAGACCCACTTGGTCGTGACCGCCTTCTCCTAAAGTATCGTATTATGGAAGTACAGCGAGTGTCTACTTCTGATGTTGATCATTTTATAAAGAATCCGAAGGCGACTTCGATGAATATGCCCCAGGTGAGACGAGATTAGATTTGTTGTTTGACACTTGGTTGTAGGAGTCCATCAGGCTACTGGATTGTATTCTGAAAACAGTCTCTAGACAGTCGTTCGTTTCTGTTGGACGTTCAGCCCTGTTCGAGGCGAAACCGATTAGAGTTGTCGCGGATAAACTCTTCAGCATCCATAAAGGTTTTATTAGTAGTGTGCGACCTCAGTGGAAGGTCCGTGTAAACTTGGATATGGTAAGTGATGATATTGCTTGTTTTGACACACTATGACAGACGTGCAAGGCGTACTTTACGTCTGGGAATTTGGCGGACGTGATGTACGCAAAGTATGGCGATGGGATGTCTCGGTGCAGTGAAGAAATGGCCCGTGACTTGAGAAGAATCAGAGTGGAGAGTGAGAAGTTTTACAGGAGCGACAGTGGTATGCGTGTATATGTATATTTTACTCTGTTATACCTATACGTGACGCCTTCTAGGTAGGATGTATTCGCGACGGTTCACTGTGCACGGGATGTCGTCACTACCAGCTGATCGTCTAATGGTTGAGGAGGTGAATGAGACGGTGGCAGAATATTTTAAGAGGCATCATCATATCACACTGAAGTATCCAGAGCTGCCTTGTGTGAAGGTAGGTGATTTGTGATTTGATTGATGATGATATTTTATTTTGTTAGGTTGATCAGAAGCGGGAGGTGTATATGCCTATGGAGTTGTTGAACATACTACCGTATCAA